TGGCCCAGCACTTGTAGCTTGCTGGGAGGTGAGACTGGGTCAGGACAGTAGAGCATTTTAAGCTGGATCTGTGTGGTTATCTAATTCGGGATGGGTTGATTAAACGGGGAAAGAAGGCAGGGGAAAGAGGTGTCTACAAGTCTTCTCTAACTTCATCTAATGAATGGCCCTGTTGAGGGCTCCCTGTTAGTGTTTTCTGAAGCTTGTGTGTTTTATTCAGGTGAGTTAAGAGAGCAAAGATAAGGAGAACAGCTATTTTAAATAGCTTAATGGATAATCAGTCCAGGCTCAAGCAGACACAAGTGGTTATCTGACAGATTAGAGCAGAGGAGGTAAACTGCTACATTTCAGCAAAGGTTTAACTCCTCAATTTGCCAATTCAGATGAATTTGTGGGAATAATCTGTTCTCTAATGTTGATGAGTTAACCACAATCTCTGATATTTAGGTTATTGCAAAATATTTGATAAAAAAGAAATCCTGAGTTTGCATTAGTCACAGTTCAAAACTGAGAAGCAGAATGAGAGCCTGGGATTGTGGGATACTTTTTTATTTTTCTTCCCCTCCCTGTTTGCTTTTTTCCAGGAAGGAGAGTTTTTCTGTTGCATTTCCACTTGGTGTAAGAATGTCCTTACAGCTTGAGCAGTTTCTCTGCCCTGTTTATAGGGAGGCTGCACTTTATAGGTTTCCCCTATAAACATTCTGATGAAGCTTCAATTCTGTTGTTCCAGTGAGATCATCTCCTTCCTCATTAAGCTTGCATGCTGTGTCAGTCTATAGGAGTAACACAAGCTTGAAAGAGAGAAGAGCCAAAGAGAATGTGACTCTCCAAATAATATTCAGAGTCAGCCTGCGCCCGACTTCCTGCCTCTGTGCTTAGTCAGTTAAGTGCAAGTCGGTGGCTGTTGCAACCCGCTTGTGCTTCATCAATGCTGCCTTACAAGAGCTGGATGTTGGTTAGGTTTCAATGCTGCCTTACAAGAGCTGGATGTTTGTTAGGTTTTAAGTAACTAGTTCAAAAAAAAAGGAGAAAAGGGAAAAAAGAAGAAAAAAAAAAAAAAAGGGAGAACAAGGAAAAAAGAAGGGACAAAAAGCAAACCAAGAGCACTTAGTGGCTACGCACTGAGTATAGAGCTTATTGTTAACTTGCTCCTATTTTAGTACATTAAAATGAGTCAGAGGACTCAACTATGATAAACCACGTAATTTAAAAGCTTGAGAGGACAAGGCATTTGATCTTCCGAGTGCTTTCATCTTCTGCAGTGGAGGAACTGATGGTATAGGACATATGCCAACATATCTATCTGATTGCAGGGTAGGGTTGGTCTGGGGCTCTGTGTGCAGGCAATGGTGATTTTGCTGATGGGATTTCTTTTTAAAGGGATGCAAATTAAATAAAAATTAAAAAATAGGAGAAGCATGAGGCTATCTGCTATATAAAAATTGTTTTCTTTTGTGTGTAGCGGAAAGGAAGCCTCCTTTGTTTAATATGAACGCAATGAGTGCCTTATATCACATAGCGCAGAATGAATCCCCTACTCTACAGTCTAATGAATGGTGAGTATTGCTGGGGGAGGAATGTTGTAGGGAATTGCTATAAATGGAGTGCTTTGTCGTGCAGAGCTCCTGAAATGGCTGGATTCCTATTGGAAAGATGTGGAAGGTTGTTATTAGGTTCGCTGTACATTTCATATACAAAATTGACCAATCACTAAATATGTTTTTTAGACTCTAGAATATAGTAGGAAATAGAAAAAGTTCTTGAAAGATGCTGCAATAAATTCAGTTCATGGGTCAGCAAGCTTTAGAAGCTCAAAGGCTAACCTAGGAAGTGTTTTTAGTGTTTTTTTATCACAAACCACACTGTCAGTTGTTAAATCTTTGTTGTTGGATTATAGCTTGCAAGATAAAGATGTTGCTTATGTGTGGCAAATTTGTACTGCATAAACTTCAGAAGTGTAAAGCATCGTAGTAACACTTTGTGCCTCCCAGTTTTGAAGACATTCTTTAGAAACAGTCATTGCAGTAAACTAATGTAAAAAAAAAAATCAAAATTCTGATTTTTGAGCAATAATCCTAGGTTTCTTATATAATACATTCGGCCATATTTTTTTAAAAAAAATCTCTACTTCTGAAATATTTGCATTAGGCTATTTCACACCCTCATGCTTGACAAAACATGTAATGCTTTAAATGCATTTTATGCATTTTTGTGATTATAAAATGAAAAAATTTAACTTACTGAAACAATTACAGTAGCAACACTCCAAATCGTGTGTTGGAGGAGGGATGATGTTGAGAAATAAAACCTGTTCGACTGACCTACTGCCACATTCAGAGTGTAATCATGTCCTTCTCAAAACTTCTGTTCAGAGAAAGAAAGGGCAAAATACATAATTTTCTCTTGCAGAGGGAGAGAGGTTTTTCCTGAACAAATCGTGGCCTTAAGTCTTACCCCTGGCAGCTTGCACAACAGCGTGGAAGTTTTGTCTGAGGGGCCAAAGGCATTTCAGGAATTGTGTGTTAATTCACTTGGAGGATGAAACACCTGCCCAAAGCAGCCAGCACGGGCAGGAGGGCCCGATCAGCCCTTGAGCTGAGTTTGTGCAATACTGAATTTGACAGTGTCGATCCATGCACTGAAATATATAGGGGGGTTGGTGTCTTTATACAGAACTTTTTCTTTCCTCCTGAATTGCCCCGTATTTTTACACTCTTAACGATCATTTTGCCTGGAAGCTGAGGTTAAGGGAATCCACCTGCTGGTAGCTGTGGGCTTGGTGTGCAGAGGGATGTTGGAGGCTGTTGTGTGAAGTCCTGGGTGTGTGTGGGTTCTCCTGCTCTTCCTGCTAGCAGCACACAGATGCGAATGTCTGGTCCCTGACTGAGCTTCTCAAATGAAATTGGGGAGTTAATTCAGCTGGATTCTTTTCCTGTCCTTGCCACAGGTCTGATTATTTTCGAAACTTCGTAGATTCTTGCCTCCAGAAAATTCCTCAAGACAGACCTACATCAGAGGAGCTTCTGAAGGTTGGCTTGCTTGTCCTTTCTGTTCTCAACATGATATTAAAAGGGATGTGCCCTGCAATTTTCTTCCTTTCTCACCTGCAATCCAAGATGATGGTTAACGATGCTCTGCCTGTGTCCTTAACACTTGTGAGCTGAGAGCTAACGGATGCTGGGGTGCAATGTGCTGTTTTTCCTGCCATTCCTGCCCCTTTGCGGTGTCTCGAGCAGTGACCCAGGTGCCTCGCTGAGCTGGACACATTCTTGGCAGAAAAGAACATCCCAGCAAGTGACACTGGGTGACCATCAGCTTGGAGAGAGTTTCAGTTTCTTAAGCTCAATCTCTCCTTCCAGTGACTATAATCCTGACAAAGCTGCCATGCATTAGTTACCAAATACCTTCCCTTACTTCCCTCTTTATTCTATGCTATATATACCCTTGCAGGCTCTCTATCCTCTCCCATCACCTGTGTGCTTTACATGTAGAACTCAAATCTGCTGTTCTAATAGTATCCTATTAGAGGGGAAGGGGAACAGAAAAAAGCAATTTTTCCTCCCCACATTCCTTTTCTTGACATGAATAAGCCTCAGTCATTTGCAGAATTTCTGCTTTATTTCTTAGCTTGTCTTTCTTCATTTGTGCTCCTGTGAGCTGCAGATATTTTCTTTGCTGTAGTCTGGAAGCAAAGCAAATGTGTCGGATGGTTGCAAAAAGATGACATGTTCTTAAGTGAACACAATTCATGTGAAACTTAGACATTACAGCTTTATTTTAAGCATGGCTTTGGATTTCCTTTGTGATATCAAGTGTTGTCCAGAATTTTTTTCAACTTATTCTTTACATTTTTTGTGACATTATTTGGGGAGGTTTTGTGCTGATCATGTTTCTGCAGTGATATTCCCAAATTTTGCTCTGCCAGCAAGTGGATGCTGTTCATGAAGTTTTAATCACATTTTTGCATGTTTTTAGGATTAAATGGCTGTGAGGACTTTTGCCTCTTTAGAAATTATGAATTCGGAAAGTATATGCAATTATCCAGTAAAGGTTTTGGTGTGGGTGTGTAGTCCCTGCCATTTCAGAGTTTTGCAGACTGGTTTTACTTTGAGCATGGCACTAGAATTAAAGAGAACATCGACAGAAACTAAATGTTTGTGAATATATTCCCTTCGTATCAGTAATATCAAAGAGCTGCAGGTCGCTTTACAGGGAGAGGTAGGAAAACATGTTAGAAATGGCAGTACAATCCCCTAAAGGAACAAAATGAAACTAGTGATGCTATTAATGACTCATTTTTGCACAGCATGCTTCATATGGAGACTGCAAAAACTGCTACCAACATACATAGGCAAGAATCTTTACCCATTGGCAAAATGTAGCTACCTTTGCAGTGTAACAGTGAATATCTCCAAAGCAGAGCATAATATGGGCAAATCCTTGTAAGACAAGGAGCAAAGGTCCCCAGCCCATTTTACAACTCCACACTGGCTGTTTGATTTTTAGACCTAAGCTAGGGGAAGGTTTTTATAGTGAGAGTTAGCTGGTGCGAGACTTAATATTTAGTCAGAGATACTGAGTGCCAAGAGGGGACCAATCTTGTTCCTTTAGAATTTATATTTTATTTTGTTGCTCTTCCCACACATGGCCAGAACTATATAGTTTCTCTAAATACTCCTATCCAGGAAAGAGGGCTAAAAAATCGAGTTCATAATTGCATCCTTCAAAGTACGGGCGCTGGAGGTGTGGGAAATCACTCACCTCTGTGTGTGTTCTGCAGCACATGTTTGTTCTTCGAGAGCGGCCCGAAACAGTGTTAATAGACTTGATTCAGAGAACAAAGGATGCAGTGAGAGAACTGGACAATCTGCAGTATCGTAAAATGAAGAAGCTCCTCTTCCAGGAGGCACACAACGGCCCCGCCGTGGAAGCACAGGAGGAGGAGGAGGTGAGAGAAACTTGGAATTTGGTCACTGAGCCAAAGAAGGATGCTGGCACGTAAATAACCATAACTCGGATCTTGCCCAAATGAATGGGGCTGTTGACACACCTGACTTAAACTCTGTGCTTGGAATAAAGCTATTGCAGGGCACAAGCAGGGACAAGCAGGGTAGATGCCTAGTGCTGACAAGAAGCTGTGCCTTGTGTCCATGCTTGAACATGGACTTTCAGCAGCATAAATCTTCTTTGTGTGCATTTCAGACTTTATACAGTCTTTTTCAGTAATTGTAATTCATTAGCCAGCCCCTATTTTGGCCAAGGCCCCTGCAGCCACTTGCATTTTGTTTTCCCTTCTTTTGGGGGTAGTATTCTGCAATTGCCACGCAGAAGCTGATGCTCTGTGACGTGCAGCTGTGCAGTCCAGTTTCCTCGTGTACAGGAGGGAGCTGTGCAAAGCACAGGGTGCTGGCAGCACATTCAGCCAGGTGATGCTGGTGTCAGAGCAGCTTCTGGTGACACCGGTGCTGATTCATGCTGGAGTTCAGCCTGTTAACACGCTCCAGCTGAAAAGAAGCTGACATCAGCCAGGTAATCTTGACAGGGTTGATTCCTTCCAGCCCCAGCATCCCACAAGAGAAATGTTTCATGGCAGTGCCTGAGGGTGGGAGCTGCTGTGACATGGCAGGTAGATACTTGTGCAAAAGAGAATGAACATATCATTTGGTAATGTCCATAGATACCACTGTGATTGATTTGTTATTTAAAAGTGTAATTCCTTTCTCCTAGGAACAAGATCATGGTGTTGGCAGGACAGGAACGGTGAATAGTGTCGGAAGTAATCAGTCCATCCCCAGTATGTCTATCAGTGCCAGTAGCCAAAGCAGTAGTGTTAACAGTCTTCCAGATGCCTCAGATGATAAGAGCGAGCTGGATATGATGGAGGGAGACCACACCGTGATGTCAAATAGCTCTGTCATTCATTTAAAGCCGGTGAGCATTGAGTTCTTTGGCTGGCTAACTTTAAAGATGTGAAACAAGTGGGTCTGGTTGGTACAAATGGCTTTTTGCTTGTATTCTTTATCATTTATTTCTGTTAATTTGGTAGCAACTGTTTTAGTAATCAAATTGTTTCAAAACCAGTTTGCTCTACCGTGAGGACTTGGATCTTCAAGCTTATTTAGTGGATACCCTTGGTGTGCAGAGCACTGTTTCATGGGACACCCACGGGAGGTGTGAGTGTTCCCCCTTCCTCCCTCCTTGTTAGTGGGTTCTTTAATGTTAGATCCACAGCACTTGTGTAAAACTACTCACTTTTACTTGGGTAAAAACTGACCCAGCTTCCCAGCACTTGAGTTGAATATTTGATTAATGAAGAAAGGTGAGTAGACAAAAAAAAAAAGCAGCACTTTGGGCATGACACACTGTGAAACCACTTCCTTGCTTGCCCTGCACTTGATGAGGGCTCAGCTGTAGCCTGTCTGTCTGAACCGAGCTGCTCTTGCTGTGGAGGGGTTGTGATCTGTTTTCTCAAAGTAGTAATGTTTCCCCTGCTAATGATAGGTGTGGTTACAGTGTTTTGTTCTTTGCCCAGATATGCAACAAAGACGCAGGTATTTCCTCAGGGAGTTAATTAGTATATCATATCTAACTCCTGATCGCTCGGTGATGAATGACAAACTCAAAATAAGAATGTGGAATACACCATGACAAATTTTAAAATTTGCTTTGAAGTATTTCTGCAGTGGGTGTAATGAAAATCATCCTCTGTTTTTTCAGGGTTATAGAAATGTTGTTTTTGTCTTTCTGACTTGATATAATCTACTCTGTAGCTTTTATATTTTATTGAAGTAAATCATTAACTTCAGTTTTCCTTTTTCCTTTTCTTTAATTTACAGTGATAATTAGTAATTTTTATTTTAGTAATATAATTGCACAGTGAAATTTTCCACATCAGAGATAGCATGGTGTATAGCTCTTCTTATGGTATATTCTTTTGTCCAACTTAGTGGCAGGAGAATCTCTCAGGGCTGGTGAATATAGAACAGTTCTGCTTAATTTTGCTTTTATTTGTCTTCCGAAACAGAAATCTTTTGTGAGGGAATCTTTTTACTCACTATTTTGTTAATATTTCCTCCTAAGGAGGAAGAAAACTACAGAGAAGAGTCAGATCCTCGAACGAGGGCGTCAGAACCCCAGTCTCCTCCGCAGGTGTCTCGCCACAAGTCTCATTATCGCAACCGGGAGCACTTTGCTACTATACGCACAGCATCGCTGGTAGGTTAAGACTCTTCTTTAAAAGAAGTCATATAGACACGTTGCCTTGGTACATGGAGCTATGAAACCATGCACAGCTTTTAGGATTTTATCGAAATATGAGCTATCCTCATGTATTACCACTGAAATAGCTTAAGGTAATAAATGTTTAAATGTGGCACCCAGGCAAATATGACTTCTACATGTTAGATATTTTCCAAACCAGTATGTCTAGTAGAATGCAAGGAGCAATTTATAATATTTTTTGTATGTTAGGTTTGTGTATGTGTGCATATTTATGTATATGTGCACACATTCATATTGCAGCGGGCCAGAAAAACAGTAACCAACAGCTACTAACAGCTAGTATTTATTTAACAATAAATAAAGTGGTAGCTTTATAAGAGTCCTCCAGTTTTCTGCTGCAGCCCATTGACTGTTGTCCTTGCAACAGCAGAATTCAGTTCTTAATCTGGTCTGCTGTCATTAGGACATGTGCTTTCCTTTGCTGCAAAATCATATTTATTTCACGAGGAGTTTTCTGGTGTGGTTTGAAGGCTGCCGAAAAGCAGATTAAGAAGCATTAACTTATTTTGCCCTGCTGTGGTTGTCTTCCTAGGTGACAAGGCAAATGCAGGAACATGAGCAAGACTCTGAACTCCGAGAGCAGATGTCTGGCTATAAACGCATGAGGCGGCAACACCAGAAGCAACTGATGGCATTAGAGAATAAACTGAAGGCAGAGATGGACGAGCATCGCCTCAGGTTGGACAAAGATCTTGAAACACAGCGTAACAATTTTGCTGCAGAAATGGAAAAGTTAATTAAAAAGCACCAAGCAGCCATGGAAAAAGAGGTACGAGATTACAGTTTAGCAGACTGGTCTCTATTTGTTAATTACATTGAATTGTCCACTTCCCCTCAGTGACGAGGAGATGACATTGTAGTCTCTTACGTGTCTGTTTTCAGGAGCCAAGCAAATTGCTAATTAGAAAAAGGCTAATACACCACCTCCTTACACTAAGGGGTTTATGTAACTAGAGGAAAGGTATGTCCTTCATCACAGTGCATTATACTAAATGTTAGTATACTGACCCCAGAAAAAATACTGCAAGGGTTTTCCTTTCCTTTGTCACGTATGTGCTGTCAATATCTGACTGCCAGGAGAGTTATGGAAGCAGATTGGCTTGCACAGAAATGTGCCAACTGTGCTTAGACCTTTCAGCCTTTTGGTGCTTAGAATATGTTTTTTTCATGCTTTTAAATAATTGATAACAAAGCAGTGTTGTCTGCAGAGATCGTTCTTGATGATATGTTTATCTTGTGTCTCTCGGTGCAAGGCTAAAGATACAGCTTGCCGTAGGGAGTTGATTTTGGTGTAAGAATAGCTGAACATCAGGGTGTAGAAAACAAAGCACTGGAAAAGGACTCCTGTGGGATGTGATTGTGGGGGGGAAGGAAAGAGGGTGAGGGAAAGCTCCCGGGACTTGCTGTTTTCCAAAGGCGTGGTGAGTATCGTGGGGTCTGTACCGTGAGTTCTGGGTACCGGGGCTGAAATGGAAGATGGGCTGTAATCAATCAGGCATCAGGCTGATTTGCCTCTGGACTTGCTGCAGGCTAAAGTGATGGCCAACGAAGAAAAGAAGTTTCAACAGCATATTCAGGCCCAGCAGAAAAAAGAACTGAACAGTTTCCTGGAATCCCAGAAGAGAGAATATAAGCTCCGTAAAGAGCAGCTGAAAGAGGTAACAGATCTATAAGGGGAAATGTGAATAGATAGTGTAATGTGCAATACAACAGCAGTGAGCATTCAGGAATAAGAGTGCCCTCTATGAGCAAGAAAACCTACTAGTTTCAGCCAGTTCTCCTGTTATATACTGTATTTTTTCAGTATTTCTGACCTTAGAATAAGAGAATTTATCCTAAAGTTGACATGTATATTTGTCTTCTGTTTGGTGGGTTTTTTTTTGTTTGTTTTTGTTTTTTTTTGTTTGTTTTTAGCCAGAAGCATGCACATTTAGCAATCCAAAGGAATGAAAACAGTTTAAGGAAAGGTAGTGAGTGTGTCTTGGTGCTGCAGTATTGAACAGTGCTGCAGCAATTAGTGAAGCTTCCCATCATTTAAATGATGCCTCTGTGGCAGCAAGAAAATAGGACAGTAAAGGTGACCTGCAGATTTTTTAAAGAAAAATATCTATAAACCAGTAGTTAGTTTTAACAGAGAAAGATGTGTAATAGTTTAATAATCAATGTATTTTAGTGAATGACCTATGTGAAATGCAGAAGAACTGTTGAATCAAACTTCCTATTTCTTTCAGAAATGTTATTTATAGTGCCTGTAATTTCAGCTGCCCTTTAAAAGGAACTATTTACTGCTCAGCCATCAGTTTATGTGGTGCAGCTTTGGAACCTGCAACTATGAAATCCAAAGGGTTGTCATACAAAACACAGACATCTCCTGAGAGTTAAAAAGCTGAACAGCAGAAAGCTGAGAGGTCTAACAGCAAATCTATAGCAGCGCAGGCTATAATAACTTGGAATCTGTTTCTAGACAGGCACACCAGGATTAGATTGACCCCTTGATGAAATATAGTTCTAATACTTGAGCTGAAATGTATAATTGCGTGGAAATCTCTAGTATGAAATTCAAGCACGCAAATTCCATTATCAAAGATGTTTCAAGCAACATATTGAATTTAATACTGATGTGGAAAACATGGCCTTAGGTGTTTCACCTTTATATTCTTCTTCATATTGTTTCTGTAAGTTACAGAATCTCAGTGAGTGGCCCTGCCACGCTCACGTTTTTGACTACCTAAGATGGTCAATGCAAAGAGAGCTGCAGTTAATTTTGCCCCAGTTTGAGCTGTCTCCTGATGTTTCCTTAGATATGATGCATTTACAAAGGCTTTGATGGTAATGGCCCTGAGAAAACCAGGTGGAACTGCCTTGCCTGAAATGTGGTTTATTGGGCAGGTCTGTCCAGTTGGTCAGTGCCAAGGAGCTTAGTGTGGCTATTCCACAGTTAATTATTTTGCTGTTATCAGGAGCTGAATGAAAACCAGAGCACTCCAAAGAAGGAGAAGCAGGAGTGGCTTTCCAAGCAGAAGGAGAATATCCAGCATTTCCAGGCAGAGGAAGAAGCCAACTTGCTGAGGCGTCAGCGACAGTACTTGGAGCTGGAGTGTCGCCGCTTTAAGAGACGGATGCTCCTTGGGCGCCATAATCTGGAGCAGGACCTGGTTCGGGAGGTAAGGGAATAGATAGAGGAAATAATTGTTTCCATAGAGGAAACTATTACTGTCCTTCCCAGAAAATGCTTCCTGCGCATCCTCTTGAACATCCAGGGCAGGAAGAAGAAAGGAGAAATGTGGAAGGAAAATCTTCTGATGGCAATGTTGTTTCTTTCTGATAAGATATAGAAACTGTACCCTGTCCTCAAATTTCCCCCCTTGGAAAGGGGGAAATGCCTTGTGGACCCAGTGAAATGTCCCATCCTGAACGCAGGGCCAAGCAAACAAAGCATCTAACAGTTGCCTCTGTCCTCCCGGCAGGAGTTAAACAAGAGGCAGACGCAGAAGGACCTGGAGCACGCCATGCTGCTGCGGCAGCACGAGTCCATGCAGGAGCTGGAGTTCCGCCACCTCAGCACCATCCAGAAGATGCGCTGCGAGCTCATCCGGCTCCAGCACCAGACCGAGCTCACCAACCAGCTGGAGTACAACAAGCGCCGCGAGCGGGAGCTGCGGCGCAAGCACGTCATGGAGGTCCGGCAGCAGCCCAAGAGCCTGAAGGTACCGTGGGATGCAGCAGCACTGGGAATGAGCTGCAGGAGCAGGACACGCCGCTGGTAGCAGCGGGAAGGTGGTACCGGGCAGCTCAGGGTGCCAGGGCCTGTGCACGTGGTGCACGGGAGCAGTGCAGCGTGAGGCCAGGCTGCAGCTGAGTTCTTATTTGCAGTGTGTTTTGAAGCTCAATAATTCGAGGAGGTATTTGATTCTGTAATTAACGTGGCTTGAGAGGAGCGTCACGTTTGTCAGGCTGTGTGACTGCAGCCCTGCAAGTCACCAGCACTAGGATGAACTGTAGCGATGGTGATCAGGGTTGCAGTGTGGTATAGGCAGGCTCTAACAGCAATATTCCCTCATTTGTCTGAAAAGCATCCCATTCTCAGCAACCTGCCCTCCTTTCTGTGTTAATTTAAAATGCATTTAATCTTTGCAGTGTCCTTCCTCCTCCTACACCATTTTCTGATCCTCTTCCCCCGCACACAAGAAGATAAACTTTCTGTAAAGAAGCCATATTCTGTGGAGGTCTATTTGGGTGGAGGTTTCTTTTCTTTCTTTCTTTCTTTTTCTGTTTTTAAAGGGTTTGTGTTGCCATGTGCAGCAAAGAAGTGAAATGCACTGCTTCTGGCTAGCACACCTTGCTACTTTTGCTACTGTTTGTATTAATGTGATGTGCCAGCAAATGTGGAGGGAGATGCCACTTGGCAGCATCCTGAGGAAGAGGAGGATGGCAACGCTGCCCTTCACTGTATTGTGCTCCCTTGGGGTTCTTGCCCTTCCCTCGCCTCTGTGGTGGCTGACCAGATCTATAGGACCTCTGTAATTGAGGCTCTTAGTGTTTTTATTGAAGCCTTCACTTCATCAAAAGAAATCCAGTGGTCTATTCTGGAGTGTCTGTGTGGAGTATCAGGCCTTTCACGTAGCAGCCGCCTTCCCCTCCACCCAGGCTCTAGTCGTGCCAAAACCAAAAGGAGTGTGTGGCATCGGGAGCATGGGGGCTCGCTGCTGTTCCGGGTCTTCCTGCTTGGTGGTGTTTCCATCTTGCTTAGTTTGCAGCACCTGCAAGCCCTCTGCTTATGGGGATTGTCTGGAAAGCGACCGGCCAAAAATAGAATTTCAGCAAGAGTTAAACGTGGAGTTTGTCAATGTTAGAGAATTATACTAAGCAGTGAAAAACCTGGCTGGTGAGTAAAACGGACCATCTGATCACCGCTGAGAATCTCCAAGGATATAATGTATAAATAGCTGGTGACTTCACAAAGACGCCGCGCTCTGAGCTGAATAAAACTGAAGCAGCTGCATTAGGCTGATCCTTGCAAGCTTAGCATGAACGAGCTCTGCCTGCCCAAGGTGAGGGGATGCAGCAGGAGCGGGCACCGTGTCCGTGCTCGGCCCCTTGCTGCCGGTCGGGATGGTGAAACGGGAGCACTGGGAAGTCTTGGCTCCCCCCTCACCTTTGCAGACTGTTTGGGCCCCTTCTCCTCCTTGGGGCCAGGCTGGGAGCGTTTTGGTGGAAGCAGCTCTGGCTTAGGGAAGGATTTCAGGCTTGAGCTGTCAGTCTGGCACCTCCACGGACACCCAGCGCTAGTAACGCAGCCCGCTGGACGCTCGCTCCGTTTGTAGCACAATCCCCTATTTATTGTGATCCTTCCCT